TGAACAGGAAACGTGAGGAAACAGACAGAGACGGGACAAAAACCCCAAAACCCTACAGTACCCCACACTGAAGGGATGGCTCATGACATCCCAAAGACAAGCTGCATTCAACTTGTGTAGGAGGCGGGACAAAACAGGACGAGTAGATACAAGACCAAAAGAACAAAAAAAAAAAACAGCAGGAATTAACCCTGGGAAACCCCAAACGCAAACCACAAAGACCCCAGACCCTGTCCCAGAGTCAAGGTGGGCGGTAGACCATCCAGGGCAGGACCAGTACTCAGGAGGGTGAACAGGTGACCGTCCTTGATGAAGCAAGAGATCAGGGGGCCGGCCAGGAAACCATCCACCCTCAGGCCAGGGTTTCAATGGGTGACCGTCCCTTCCCAGGTAGTAGAGGAGTCCATCTCTGCCTGCCTGGACTCAGGTAGATGAGGAACTCCAAAGCCAAACCAGGGGTGAGGACTTTGGCAGGCGGGTCGGGAATGAAGACCACAGATGAGCCCTGAGCGAGGACCTCCAGAGACGAGCCGGGAGCGGAGACGTCGAAAGACTGACCATGGGTGCTGCAAGGCGGGGACCCTGAGCTCTCTGCAGACTGACGATCTTCTGCAGTAGACTCAGGAGTGAGGACTGCAGAGGAGCCGGGGTCCAGACCAGGAGCGAGGACTGCAGAGGAGCCGGGGTCCAGACCAGGAGCGAGGACTGCAGAGGAGCCGGGGTCCAGACCAGGAGCGAGGACTGCAGAGGAGCCGGGGTCCAGACAAGCAGCAGGTGGTGGAGTCTGAGCTGCAGCAGCAGGTGGAGGAGTCTGAGCTGCAGCAGCAGGTGGAGGAGTCTGAGCTGCAGCAGCAGGTGGAGGAGTCTGAGCTGCAGCAGCAGGTGGTGGAGTCTGAGCTGCAGCAGCAGGTGGTGGAGTCTGAGCTGCAGCAGCAGGAGAACCAGAGACCGGAGATGGAACTGCAGCTGGGGAGCCAGGGATCGGGGCTGCAGCTGGGGAATCAGGGACTGGAGATGGGGCTTCAACTGGAGAACCAGGGACCGGAGATGGGACTGCAACTGGGGAGCCACCGATCGGGGCTTCAGCTGGAGAGCCAAAGATCGGGGCTGCAGCTGGGGAACCAGGGACCGGAGACAGGGCTGCAGCCAGAGAAACAGGGATAGGGGCTGCAGCCGGGGAACCAGGGACCGGAGACAGGGCTGCAGCTGGAGAACCAGGGACCGGAGACGGGGCTTCAGCTGGA